TATATATATGGCTTATTGTCCAAACCTGAGTTTTTTCTTTATTTTACTATTATATGAAGGCCTATTTTGATATTTTCAGGCTTTCATATATCTACGGTTCATGAAAATGTATTTACAAACACAATACACACATTTTTACAATCAGGGACAAATATAAAATAGCAGGGAAATATGTTTATATGATGATAATAATATAAGTATTTGATAATAGTAGTTATGCTCAGTTATTTTTATACATTGTTTTTAAATGCCTTATAGAGCTTGAATGGTGTGAGAGTTATTTTTTGTTTTTGTTGGGAAAAAATTCCAAGCAGGCCATGATAATCAACAGGTTCTCATGGTTTCAGTTGGAACTCAGTTCAGAGAGCTCAGCAATTAAATATACAAATAAAATGTCTAACAATAAAAAGGTTATGCTACATTTCTCCAAATCTGATGAAGAAACAAACTCATCTACATCTCAGATGGCCTGAGGGTGAGTAAATATTTAGGAAATTTTCATTTTTGGTTGCTATTCCTTTCATCTCAGATGACAGCTCACCAACACTGTGCAAATGATCTCCACTTCAGTTTAGTGTCAGGAAGTGTTTCTCATAGACCTTCACTGTCTGTGAATATGGACACATCTGTTCAGTTGATAAAACCTGTTGTTGACGTCTATCATGCTCTTACACAACAGAGTCTGCTATAGGACAAACAAGTCAGACATAAGTTGCTGCACTATGCTAGTAAAAATTAATAGTTTTTAATGGTGGGATTTTCAGCATGTTTCTGTGAATCACTAACGGACAGCATCACTGGAAAGAAATTGATCAACAATCAAACAAAATAAATGACTCGTCAGATCAGTAGAAATTAAGTGCCTGGCACAATTACATTCAGTTCATATTACATAGAAAAAATGAAGATATCTATTTATTTTGTGATATTTGTTAATAAAATAAAGTGTTTGCATTCTAATTCTGCATTCTTTCTTATTCAAGTATATACTTGAGTATTTTGTGATTTGAATCAGGGTTATTATAGTTAACATCAACTAAAACTAAGACTAGATAAAAAAAAATAAAATACCTGAACACGAACACACACACACACACACACACACACACATATATGAAATTTTATTTCAAATAGTTGACAAGGCAACATTTTTCATGAACCCTCACACTGTCAGAAGTCAGGCGATGATAACCTCTAGTGGACAAATGGAGAAATGTCGAATGTGGATTGGGTTAATGAAATGATGAAAAGCTAATAATTAAATTATAAACATAGAAAATTGAAATACATATTTTTAAAATATTACAATCAAATAAAATAAAAGTTTTGTAAAAAAAAATGTAATTGAATGCGTGGTGTTATTTTAGCATTGTGTATATACTATTATAGTATTCATTATTATTTTGAAGTAGATTTTATTTTTATATTTTCAGTTTTCATTTTAATTTTAAGTTTATTTTATTAGTTTTTTATTTATTTATTTATATTTCAGTTTTAGTACATCAACTTTTATTAAAACTGTGTGGGCTGTATTTAAATATTGCATGTTCCTTTATGTATGTCCTAACATATATACACACTACTCCAGTCTTCAGTGTCACATGATTCTTCAGAAATAATTCTAATATGCTGATATGCTCAAAAACATTTCTGATAATTATCAAGGTTAAATATTTTGCCCAAAATTTTTGTGGAAATGCCATACTTTTGTTCCCCAGGAATCTATGATGAACAGAAAGTTCACAAGAACAGCATTTATTTGATTTTTTTTCTTTACAGATATAAATGACATTACTGTCAATTTTGATGAATTTATTGTGTCCAATTTTTGAATGGTACTCCAAACTTTTGAATGGTATTGTATATAACAATATTAAAATAATTTATTACAATTTATGTAGGCACCAGAAATAAGTGTGTATGAAGTGTTCTAATATAATACATTATTTTAATTATATAAATATTTAATATTTTAATATTTGAATTTACATTTGATTATATAATTATTTAATATTTTATTAATATTTACTTATATAATTATCTTATGCTATATAATATTTTTTAATTAGTTATATTTAAATAATACATATGTAATATTTGTAAAAACAGTAAGTTTATATTTATAATATTTTTGTTACACATATGCATATTTTGTAATGATGTATATAATGCATTATGACTGTACATATAAATGCATATTATTATTATTATTATTATTATTATATCAGAAGAGTGTCGGTGAACCTTGTTTAAAGGGGTCATATGATGTTGCTAAAAATAACATTATTTTGTGTATTTGGTGTAATGAAATGTGTT